GAGCTCGGGACACCCTATTTTTCTTTCCAGATTTGGAATCAGCATTAAATTTCAATTCGGAAAATCGAAGTTTTAAAAAAAGTTTAAATCAATTTCCAAAAGTAGGCAGTCACCTTAAGAAACGCCATAGTGTGTCTTCGTAAATGCCCTTCTGAAARATGTAGCACCGGAAATTGGTGTACATTCACTGCCTTAAATGAATCCTGCATTTGTTTCTTTCGGAAATTTGATGTACATCACTGTCTTAAGTGAATCCTGTCTTAAGTGAATGTCTGCGCCCGCGATATTTATGAAAGCGCACGCGCATCTCGGAAATTGTCTATTGGTACGTGTCTGTTCAATGCGTATGCTGTGTATCAAAAACACAGCTTGTCCGAGTTAGCAACAATAACTAGTGCGGTATAGTATAATGAATTCGGAAATGGTGAGTTTAAGATGATTAAACAGTTCATAAATATCTTCCCGGGAAATAGACTGCACTGGTATTAACAGGAAAAAAAAAGCTTTTTCACACTTAGTGTCTAGTCGTTCTAGCGCTTTCGCACTAATTGGGGACACTTTTCGCTTGCACGCACTACCACTACATTCAACATTCTATGCACACAACGCTCAGCTTACATGTTGATTTTTATGTGGGGAGGAAACCGGAGAACCCGGAGAAAGCCCTCGTAGCATAGGGGATAAAAACACATCAAACAACTCAATTCACATATGGCGACCGCAGAAACGGATAAATCTTATCCATTTGATGAATCTTTTGGATAACAGCATCGAATTATCCACTGGATAATGATTTATCCGTCGCGTTAATGCTTGTAGATTAGGCTAACATAATGTACTAATTGATTATATATAGAGTTACGATAATATAAACTAAATTAAACTAATATAACTATAAACTAATCATCTGACTAGAACTAGGTGTGGTAGCTGATGCGCTGTCCATCGTACTTCTCACTTCATAAGGTCATTGATGTTCCCTATTTTCTAAGAAACTAAAATAAGGTCACCTCACTTTCACAAAGATATTATATAGGAATAGTAGTAATAGTAATTTATAGTAATACTGATCAAGTCGTTTACCACTCACTGATTTTGAGGCTCAAATCGATAAGGGTTTTGATATATACCAAGTTTCATTCCTGAAAAAAATGTAGACGTAAGTAAAAAAATATTCAGTTTCGGCGCGTTGAAATTCACTTTCATACCGCAGACATCTGTCAAACATATAAATACATAAWTAGTCGTAATATAATACTCCTTTTTTGAGCTCTCGGTTGCTCAGGGTTAACCACGATTTTTTGTATAATACGATTCATGTATTGAAAGAAACATCCTTGAATTTTAATATTGCTTGTATCGTTGAGAAGTTGTGCATTCTTTACTTTAACATTGGTATTTGTGAATGATCTGACGCTAAAAACAAAGAGGCAAAACCGAGGTGTAAGGAACACAGCAGTATAGTACGATTTCGAAAATGATATATTTTACTGCGTCTCTTTGATTGCTAATATTTCATTATTTAATCCCTCCCGCAATTATTTCAATTCGCTATTATTTCAAGCAATAAATCGTTTTCACTTCAAAAACGAACACTATTTAAATCCCAAATACTTATGTACATTTCCCGCGCGAAATTTGTGTAATTTAATCAAACGATAAATCAGGTTTCTTTTCTTCATCATTTACAATTTATCTGACTAACAGAATATAGCTCCTAAAGCCAAGGCCTGTTCTGGTTTCTCAAACCTCTTAATAATTCATACCTTCAACAACGAATCAGAACATCGTTTTATAGGAGAAATGTTGTGACTGATAACGGGTACGCCGTTTATTCGTTATTTATGAATGATAATATGGAACAACATGAAAAAAACATCGCGGGGTCCTGATTGTTTTCCGAAAATTACGGAATAAGAACGAAATTCCATTTATTTTATTCAGTAGTTTTCGGAAGACATTTGTTATATTTCTGTGAGTAGTTTTCTTGTTTAGTTGGTGTTTTAATTGAAAAGAAAGATACGATAATACAATAACATTCCACATTCGAGTTGGTTTCTTTGTTACGTTATGACTTCAAAAAACCTCGCAGCCCTATTGAATTTCGAGGATAATGATATTCTCATAGAAATAAACATGGCTGACGCGTGAGTAAGACGCGTTAACATCTGAGACCAGAATTGCAGTTTGTGTCTATACTTTTAAAAACTAAATCGAAAGTCGACTTAAAGCAGAAAACAAATAGACATATTACGTTACTGAAAACTCCATATGGACCTATCAAAGTTCATATATCAAAGCCTGTTTTGGTAAGAATTGATATATTAGTGTCAGTTCAATTCAGTCTATCCCTTCATCAACTGATTCTCATACCTGAGTTATATGTTCATGAAATCACCCTGAAATGTGTTCTTTTTTATGCTCTACAAAGACCATAGGTCGTGGTAATAACATCCAAGCGGTAATAAACATATATATAGTACAAAATAACTTTAACGAACGTCGACTCCTTCGACTTATTATTAATGATTATTGCATAATTAGGCTTGCTCAAAACATTAATACAGTAGACTTGCCGACCTCTCTTGCCTCCCGAGGGGTYTATCGARCGGGAATTTATCGAGCGCGGCCAACGAGCGACAAAGTCGAGAGAGGTCCGTCGCGCTCCAGTATAGATATACGCAGAGGGCTTGCGAAAGTATAAGAATATATTCAGAAGTCACGGTGTTTCAWAACATGTCATAAGAGAAAGCTCTATGAATTAGACGAACATTCGTAGAAGTCAAATGCGAAAAAAATGGAGCTTGAGCCAGAGAGTAGTAGAGGACACAAAGAATATCATATCATACTCAAAAATTCAGATTTTTTTTTGGCATTCAAGCAAACATTATTCTTGCGGTGTAACCATATGACTCCCTTGATATACATAATAATGAAAAAGCGTCAGTTTAGTCTAGCAAGGGAAGATAATGAGGAAACATGGCAGCTATGACGCAACATGCACCTCAACATTGATATAGTATTCAGATAAGAGTGCGCAGTGAAGTATCCCTTCTAGCCCCGACGACACTTATTCATCCATGTCATAGATTATCTAGAGGTTTCAGCGCTTTGACAAAAACGTCGTTTCGAGTTTTACAAAAATCACAATTTTTCTACTCAAAGAAGAGAAAAAGTGTTTTTTAGATTCGAATAGAATTTTTACTTAGCATACGAAAGGAAAATGCCTAAGCTTGCAAGTTTCATGATTTTCACGGAATGGCCATTTGCGCTTGTCAATACCGACAGGCGGGAGAATTTATTATTATTTGCGCATGCGAGGAACAGACGCACCAATGTAAATGTAACGTTGACGTTTTCAAAGGCCACCTTTTCCGTCTTTCACCGCTTTAAGAGGTTTCCAAACGAAAATCGCCAATCATTTTTATATTTTTCAAAGGTTTCCAAATTGGAGAAAGTATATGGCTACTTTTTCTATTTCAGTTTTTTAGAAACCACAAGCTATAGCGGTTAATCACTTTCACAAGTTATAATCACTTTCACAAGTTGGGACTGTTTCTGTTGCTTCCTATAATCCGCTCCTAATTTAAAAGCTTAAAATTTCTAATCTGTTTATATACTCCAGCCTTACCACCATATACTACAAATYATYGTTGATAWATCGCAAATATAGATACCACTAAAGATACTTTTACTTTTATCATATTATGTCTTCGTTGATTCGTAACTAGCTATGCGGTCAACATTTTCCTCTTATGATCTTATAAGATTCTCATACAAAAAGCTGCTCGTAAATRAAGAAGTATATTTTCATTATTTGTTATTGAAGAACRAGACACTCTAAGAGCATAGGCTCAGAGCTGGACAACGTGTTATGAAATGTTTTATCGGTATGACGAHCATGGGATGTTTCCCAAAAAAGAATATTTCGTTTGGGGATTTTTTTGTTTAAGCAGTGTTGCGTTTTGCATTTCACATAATTCCTCAGCTTTACGGGAAAGTTGACTTGTTTTCACCATGCAATATATATGTGCGTTCGGGGATTGTCATTACGGTCTCGTAAGTCAAAATGTGAAGTAAACAGTGGGGGAGGTCACCATTCTCGTTTAATTTTCTATCTATTCTTAGAAAACGTCGAAAATTGTCAAAAACTCACACTTTTTCAAGGGAAGACTGGATCGAGTTTTATACAAATCACAATTTTTCAACTCACAGAAGAGAAAAAGTGATATCTAGATTTGAATACAATTTTTACTTAGTATATGAAAGGAAAATGCCTAAGCTTGCAAGTTTCATGATTTTACTCCTATGCGCGGAATAATATGCGCAAAACAATAGGTGCCAAACAATGCGGTCCATAACTCTAAGTTTTCGAAAGCGACCATCTCCCGCAAATGTGAAGATGACAAAGATTTCATGAAGAAACTGTTTCGAATTTTAGTTTTGACCTTGTGCTTTCACCACCATAACTAAAACTTCAGTGATTTTACAGTATGCAGCTTTGGCCTTGGAATGATAAAGTCATTTTATAATTAAATAAATAAATAAATAAAAACGTTGTCGTCGACAGGCTCAAGGATTCCTGGCTTGACCAAAAGGAAATACGGGTAAGAAGTACATTAATCAATTAAATAACTAATCAATATTCTTATTATCATTGACTTATTAATTTTATTATTATTATTTTTCTTCCAAATTTGGGTTTAGAAAGAAGTGAAAATGTGCTGTTTCGGTCTTGAGGATAGGATTACTAATGCAACAACAATAAAGAAACAAGACGATATGAAGCTCTGTGTTACAGGTTAGAAAAGTTTTACATTTATTTTTATTTTCTATTTTTTTGGTGTTTTCCTTTCTTCATTCATTTTTCTCTTTCCACGACTAAGAGTTTATACCTGTCAATTTCTAAGCCTCAGGGTGATTAAGACATCAAATCAGTTCGATTTGATTGCCCTCCATTCCCGCTAGGAAAAAAATCAATATGGTGAAAACATAGTATTGCCTCGATTTAACCAGTATATAATGTTAATTTGTTAATCATGTAACATAAATTTAACTGTCGTTGTTGCCTTGTCGTTGTTGCCTGTTGACTACCTCGTAATTCGGTTAAATACTCAGTTCTCCAACGTTTTAAGGAATCTGGTACTCTGCTGGAGTAGCGTGTTACAGATCCTGATCATTTTGTACCCGGGGGTACTCCCCTATATTCGCTATACGGGTACGTGCCGCAAACAGGGTATTGTTTTTTTTAATTTTTTACATTTCTTTTTAATTTTCAATTTTTGAAAGCAATATGCTGTTTCTTTTTGTTTTTGTTTTTTTGGTTTTTTGTTTTGGATAAGATCATTAATGCGACAGCAACAAAGAAACATGAACATGTGAAACCTTGTGTTACAGGTTAGAATGTTTTACATTTCTTTTTAATTTTCAATTTTTTGGTGTTTTCTTTTCTTCATTCTTTTTCTCTTTCCATGATTAAGAGCTTATACCTGTCAATCTCTAAGTCTCAGTGTGATTAAGACATCAAATCAGTTCCCGCCGAGGAAAAAAATCAATATGGTGAAAACATAGACGTCTTTTGACTAGTATTCAAGCCTAGTAGACGTCGAGATAGCAAAATCATCGTACATATAGCATGCTGTCAAACACACCGTTTAAAAATCAGTGACTTGACTATTTAAATATCTCAATATTTCCTGGTACAAGATGAAAGTACTGAGATTCTTTTAAACGTCTACGCATAAACAATGTTTCTTTGAATCAATATAATTTTCGTTAAAGTTTGATAGTGTGTAAAAAATTAATAAATAAACAGCGAAAGGCAGTCCGTCCATAGTACTTTGGGCTTTTCCATTTTCGAAAATTATAAATTATAAAGGTTTTATTAGTAATCGAGCGCCATCGAGGTTTGGCGCTGAAAGGATTTTATAGGCCAAAGATATTGACACAAATATATTGATTGGGCTACCTGTGAAGAAACATGCATTTACTTTTGACGCCTTTGATTGGTCAAGTAGAACATTAGAACTTGGAGCTCTTGATCTTATCTATCTGGATGTCCCGGATGTGACGCCTCTTTTTGCCCGATGGTCATATCAAAAACTCCAGATTCATCGAAGCCATAAAAACATCATCCGCTTATCTGTGTTTTGTTTTGGAATGCCTGAATAAACGTTCGCACTCTTTTTTTATTACAAATAAAGGCGTATCCAAATAAAATACATTTTTTGAGTCTGATTGAGATAAATTAACTTTATCTTAGCGGAGCGGAGCGTGAAACACGCACCTATCTTCCACATTTATAATAATGTTTTTACCAAAAGTTGTTTCCGTTTAACACGCCTTATGGACTGGACTACTTGTGACCAAATATATACTTGTGGCCGAAGCGATCGAAGCGTTACCGTTGCATTATTAATCGACAATGTGATTTTGAATTTCTGGATTTAACTGAAGTCGACCTGGATGAAGAGAAACATTGTAATTTTCCCTTGTCCAAATATTGGCCACTGCTTTCTGTAAGTAGTTATGAAGTTAAAGTCATGCAATTATTGAAAATTGTTTAATAAATGTAGCAGATTCACTTACTTGGCGCCTACGTTCACACATTTTTTTAAAAAAAGAAACAAATAATTTTAGACGCCAGATCCCGTAAAATATACATTTTTTTCCATTACCATGTTTATCCTCACAGTAACTAATAACATAAAATCTATATTATTAAAATACGAGAATGGGTCAGTGAGATTCGAATACGAAATCAGCATTACTGCCATTTAAAATTTCTTAGATTACATTTTCTCCATTGTCTTGTTATTATGAACATTTTTGTTTATATGTTGGTATACGTTAGGGTATATGTACTATAAGTACTTGTATATGTATTATGAGAAAAAAAAAATATATATATTTAAACTAGCAGCTAGAATTTTTTCATATGTAGCGATCGCTATTCGAAACTGAAAAAATGAATTTAGTCTTATTGTGAGAATATGAAACGTGTCGAATAAAGTGTCACACCTGTTTATAGCTTCACGTTTTAAGAGTATAGTAAACAATATTACGACATAACATACAAATTTAGAAACTAGTTATAATCTTTGGTTAAAATTTCAATGTACACTGTGGTATTTCCATTCTAGGAGGGGAGACACAGCTGATGTTTAAATACCCAAGCTCTTTTCGTTCCTTCATCGTTAGAAAAAGACATTGGTTGAGTGTTTGAAAATAATCGACACCGGTCTTCCAAAATCTGGACCCTTTTAAAGATAAAACAAGAATCCTCAGTTTTATCTTCTGGGATTGATATTTTCATTCATTGTTATAGCAGTTATTTAGCTCATTATGGAAACTCTAAGCTGACTTGAAATTAAAAGAGTATTCAAAAAACTAAGCTGAAAATTGATTTTCTTGAAAAGAGCCTGAGTCCAAGAGTGTTTCCATGGCAACACCATCAAACATATCAAACTGATTGTTTTACTCTGCACTATAATGTACATAAGTTTCAGCCATTTTGGGATAATTCTTACAGATATATTATCAGTATGATGATTTGACTTTTCACTTGGTCACTTAAGCCACGTCATCATTTTGTAATTTCTATATTGAATATCTCAGCAACGAAAAGAGATAGCAAAAAGAAAGTAAATGCTTTTTGGAACCAAATAGAAAAATATCAAATGCGACTGAAATTTATCGAATGCGTATTTGAGACATAAATCCGTGTACTTTCGGAGAGGTGATATTTTGATCAGCAAAAAAAGACTGACATTTTCGTGAATACTAATAAGTAGCCTTTACTCGACAAAATTTCGTCACATGTTTCGAGCAGGAGTGACACAAATGAGTATTAAACTCAGTTAAGCAAAAAAAATCGTGAAAGAAGAGGGCTTGTCGTTTTTCTGCCCTGTCCATAATGTAAGATTGCAGAAATATTCAGACTCCGATATAGCATTGCAATTAACTTCCTTATTTTGCCATATATTGAGATGGTGAAGCACGAAAACTAGAGTTGTTGGCTCCTCTTTATTTTATTGTACTTTTAAAAAGCTATGACAAGCTGAATTTAGTTCTGAATATAAATTTTACTGTTACATTTTGTGATGCTATGGCTAAACTGTGCATACTTTTAGTCCTATGTGCAGGGAAAAAATGCATTGTATATAAAAGGAAATTAACTTGATGATGATTATGATGATAGTTATGATGATTATATTATTATGATGACAATAATTATGATGAAATGATTATGATGATTATGATATGGTTAATTGATATATAATCAGCAAAATGTTTTATCTTTTTTCTTATAGGTTAAAGAAGATGAAATGTTTTCTAAGCAGCTTCCGCTTTTTCTTTCCTTGGATCGCTCTTCAATTGTTTGTTAACTTGTCAGGTAAGACTAAAACAAGAAATAAAGGGAAACAAGTTTTGACACGGGAAAACGTGTCAAATGTGCTGTGCACATTGGATACTTTGAATATAGTACAAGACTATTTGGGATTTAGTCATTGTAAGACAGAAGAAAGTCCGTGGATTCGGTTTGAATACTTTTTTACGGTCAAATTGAACCAGCATAAACGAGTCTTGTTCGCAAACCCCAAAGCAAGCCTCCGTCTCTCTGAGAACCAGTGCTATGGTGGCTCCATCGGCTCAAAAACACCACACAAAACATTATTGAACAGAAGATTCTCCATCTACAGAAAAACTTTGGTCTCGAAAATTTACCTCATAATACACTGCGAGCAGAGTCTCCTTTAAGTAGTATAGGGAATGGGGGTTCCAGCGCAATCTCAACACGGGCAAGACCCGTGTCAAAAATCCACCTACGGAAACAACCCATTCCAAGTGTGGTTGGGGGCAACAGCGCAAATATGTTAGTCTATATATGGAGTGCGAAGATTGTAAAGAGTTTGTTTATGA